CTGGTCATATTTGTTGGGTGTTCTGTAGGCCTCATGTATTCTTATTGGCCTCTCCTTTAACTTGGGGAAATTTTCTTCAATGATTTTGTTGAAAATAATTTCTGGGCCTTGGAGAAGGGAATCTTCTTTTTCCTCTATACCTATTATTCTTAGGTTTTGTCTTTTCATATTGTCTTGGATTTCTTGGACGGTCTGTGTCAGGAATTTTTTGGATTTAACATTTTCTTTGACAGATACATCGATTTCTTCCATTGAATCTTCTACACCTGAAATTCTTTCTTCCATCTCTTCTAGTCTATTGGTTATTCTTACCTCTGTAGTTCCTGTTTTCTTCCCTAGATTCTTCTTCTCCATTATTTCCTCCATTTGTGTTTTCTTTAATTTTTCCAATTCTATCTTCAGGTCTTGAGTTGTTTTGTTTACTTCCTTCACCTGTCTGATTGTACTTTCCTGTTTTTCTTTTAGTTCCTTCAACTCTGTTTCTTTTATTTCATTCAGTGCTTTAAGCATTTCCTTTCTAAAGGCCATAAACTGTTTGGCTGCAGCTTCCTCTATTTCTTTACGGATGGCAATATTCTGTTTGAGTTTATCTTCCTCTATGTCTTTATGTATTTTATTTGTTTCCTCTGTTATCATCTTCATGAGCATAGTTGTTAGGTCATCATCTTGGATTTCAGTTATGCTGGGGTGTCCAGGGCTACTTGCCCCTGGGTAACTGGGTTCTGGAGATGCCATATTGCTCTGTCTTTTGTTGCTTGAGCTTTTACGCTGGCCTCTACCCATTGTGCTATCTTAGGTGTTTGGAGTTATTTTCTGGTGGTTCCTGGGGATCCTGTGGTGGAAAGACTCCCCTTTGCAGAAAGCTGGTTTTTCCTGAAGGAAGTCTTCTCAGCTTTTTGGGTATAGTCCCTGGATGGCTGGTGTTTTTTTCAGGAGTTGCTACTGCTCATCTCAGGGATAGAGACCTGAGTGGTAACTGTGGTCTTTGTTAGTCGAGAGGGTTCTCCTCTCACCCAGGGAAGTCCTGAGGACAGCTGCCCTGTTTCTGGGTTTCTTGCTGTAAATTTAATGATCAGCTGCTGTGACCCAGTTGGACATCTGGCGCGCAGCAACTGTTTGTGCCTGTGTCTGGAGCACAGCTGAGTGATGGCGGCTCGGCCCTGCCGGTCTTTGCTAGATTTTTTCCAGGGAAGGATTGGGTGATTTAAGTCAATACAGTTTCCTTCCTTCCCTGGAGACAGGGACTCTCAGTCTCTTTTTTTGCCCTGGTGAGCACTGCTCAGTCTCCGCCAGCTGTCTGGTGTGCGGAAACTGCCTGGGTCTGCCTTTCCGGCCTTTGGGAGCCTGGGTGTCTCCCTAAACTGGGTAATTTTCCTGAGACCTTTTCGGGGTGGGGGTGTCGGCTGAGTGCTCTGAGATCAGATCAGCCTTTTCCCTCCCTGTGTGTTTGCACTGGACAGTGAGACTCATTTGCTGGTGTCCTGGTGCCCACAGTTCTATCTGAGGTGGCGAATCAGTCGCGCAGGCAGGCAGGGCTCTGTTCTGGAGCCTGGATCCCTGGCTCTGGCTCCGGGCTGGCTCCTGGGGCGCCTGTGGAACCAGAGTCTTTTCCAGGGGATATCTGGGTGACCTAAGGTTGGTCCCAATCGTTTCCTGTACCGTGGGGTTATCTTTCTCGACTGAAAATTCCAGTCTCTGATAGTGTGGTGCTCATGGTTCAGTCTGGGACCGTGACCAGAGACACTGGCTTGTGGCTCTGGGCTGGGGCTGGGGCTGGCGGCCAGCAGCCAAGCGTCTGGTGGAACCTGGATCTCTTCCACGGTTTAGCCGGGTGAGTTAAAAGCTGATTGAATCCCCCACCGTGGGGTATCCTCTCACCTGGGAAACACAATGACTGTGTTTTATGGCCGCGAGTTCTGATTGCTGGTCACTGTGCTGATCCTGCTGCTGCTGCTCAGAATGAGAGTCCTCCCGGTGCTGCCATCTTGCCCCACCCCAAGTATTTCTATTTTTAAACAACCTGCTTTTAAAGACATTATCTGTTATATACTTAAAACTCTTCTTATAAAGACTCTCATAACAAACACCTCTAACAACAGAGGCTCAATAATGAAGATATATTTGATGAATTAAGTATTCTACAAGCCTGTAGAGTTTGTGCTGGTTTTAAGGCTACTGGCTTTTTCCAAGCCAAACATGAAACGTTGGTCATATTTTTCATGCAAGTGCTTAACCAAGTGGAATTTTAATTTTCTATTCTTTTCCATCAATTCTTATTCTTAAAATATTTATTCCCTCCTCTCTGCCTTCCTCCCTCTCCTTTCCTTCTCCCCTCCCTTCTCTTCCCACTTCATTTTTTCATCTTCTGCAAGTTATCTTAACCAAATATAATGGATGGCGATTTTTTTTTTAATATTTTTTTGGTCAGAATTTCTCAGATTTAAGTTCTCTCCCTAAATTTCTATGGAAGTTCTCCTTCTTTACATACCTAACTCACTGGAATTATTACTGAGCTGGATCATCAACCAGTTGGGAAAAATGGATTAATGTGTACTTTATAAAAGTCTCTTCTTTAAATGTCTATTATAATTAACATTTTATATTATTCACACCAGAATAATAGTATGTCAGACATCTTAAGTATATCAAAGTTATAGTTGGTTCATTTAAAATAAATAATTGTATATGACACCAAAACTGAATCAGACAGTCTTTATCAGTTAAGGTTTGGTAGGGAATATGGTTAGGGAAGTACTTAAATCATATGAATAATAATTCCAGATGTATTAAAAGCTACCATGTTAGGATAAGTCTTCTGCTTAAATTACTCTTATTTTAGTTTCATACTTAGAAAACTTTCTGTTATGCTGTTAATTTTGTAGTCATCCAGGGTCCATACATAACCCAATTTTATGGCTCAAACCCTGAGTTAGAAGGTATAAATGCGTGCATAGCAAGTTCCAATTCTTTGTGATTATGATGTGGCCACTGAACAACTCTTAAAAAGTTTGGAAGATGTAGTAAATCACTTACTTTCTCAATAACTTTTCAATAAGTAATAAAATAATGTATATGTGTTGGTATTGATTACTGTGTGTCATGTCACATTTCCACTTCCGTTTCTAAGACCACTGTTGTGGAGCAGTCACAGGGACTGTGATGTGAATCCCCGTCACCCCGAAGACATGCACCACACCTTGTATTCCATCTTCCCACCTCATTAGAAGGGTGTCTCCTCCTCATGGCAGTTAATTTGCTTCTTGTCTATGAGAAGAACTTTTATTTCTTAAGGATTCTTTGTGACTTCTCACACATGAATGCCATGAAGAACTGGAAATTGATTCTACACCCTGGAAAATGCTCTGAAGAATGAGAAGTCAATGATGGATAACTTTACAGGCTTAGCTAGACCTGCAGAGATCAGACTGGATAAGAAAGTGTGAGAGAGAGAAAGAGACAGTAGGAAGGAGAAGATGATAAAAGGAAATACATCAGGTAGCAAATGAACTTTTCTTTTAATTGTGTCTAAAGCAGTTTTGCATGTGAAAAATCTTGGAAAGTAATTCTGAAAGACTTTTTTTTTTTTCCTCAGAGAAATTAAATTATGGCTCATTCCAATTCCACTATTTTCTGCAATTATAAATTGCCAGACTAGATTCTAGATCAATAAAATTAAATTCTGTTTGAAAAATCTATGGATAAATCTACTAATTAAAAACTTCCATATATGTACTGTTTTTAAAGATTTTGATTAGTATTTTCTTACAATGGGATATTGTGATTCTCCCAAATGTCAACATTCCCAGTTCCAGATAAACACTGTTTCCCTCTGAGTTGTTGGTTACATGTGTGCAGAGGAAACCCTCCCGGACAATAGAGGCTATTGCCACTGCTGGAGGTTGTCCATCAGAACTCGATGGTAGACTCTAGTGCTGAAAACTATTCATGTTGATCACAGATCATGGATTCTGTTGCTTATCTAGAAACTTTCTCTCTGTTGGCTAGCTTTCATAAGGACAGAAATTGCTGTTCAGTCAGCTGGAGCAAACATATTATCAACAGTCTTCCCTTGCTGTGGACCCTGAGAGCTATAATAACCACTGATATGGTGAGATGTGGCAGTTGGTGCAACAGCGCTATGAAGGTCTTTGGGTTGACCATGATTATCCAGTTGGACTTAAAGCCTGCTCCACAGAAGAGAACTCATGCCTTATTCCACAAAATTAGAACAGCTCAACACGCCTCACCTTACTTTTTATAAGTGAACAGTGATTAATTAGAGACCTAATAAACGGTCAATATGTAGAAAACAAATGACTGTGATATTCATGCCTAAGTGGATAGCTATATCACATAACACTCTCCAAAGGCTTGGGAAACACGCATAAGAGGGAACAAACCATGATTTGCAGGGCCAGAGGACGAGGAACTGGAAAATGACGTCGCATGCATATGACAGGACAACTACACTCATGAAATAAAAACAGCTATGGTCACCTGTACAAGATCTTGTTCAAAATCGTCACTAAATAAAGCCAAGGCAGAATGTGGGGAAAGGCTACCCCTATCTTGAGAGTATTTGATGGCTTCTTGGGAAGGGAAAATCCATTTTTTTTGAGAATGTGGCCTCATGGTAGGTTTTTCATCTCCAGTGGATGGTCCACACCAATGATTAAATATCCAGCACTAATTAGACTCCATGGGTTTAAAAAAATAAAAACATAAATATATGTGGAATTCATGGTGGAGAGATAGATGGAGAAGGAGGTAGGGAGGTGTAAGTAGTTGATATGATAAAAACACATTTAAAAGCAAATTCTATAGTCACTCTAATCATCATACCAAAATCTATGTGTCTATTAGAGACTGAATACAATATCTCATTTAATGAACACCGTATTTTTTAGTATGATGAATGTTGCCAATTAAATCCTGTTTATACACTTGCTTAATAAGATACCAGAAAACTCCTCACACTTTTAATTGATTTCTTTTTGCAGGCCTAAGAATGGAAAGAAAGATTAATTATACTCGGTTGAATAGCATATGCCACACTAGAGGAATAAGGAGCAGGTAAGTTACTCATGCATGTCTTTTTCTGTCATAGAAAAAGACATAGACTTCCCCATCACATGCCTGGCCTCAGAAGCTTTCATTAGCTCTACAGAAAGATTCTGCAAAGACTTTCCTGTATTCTTCTTGAGTCTAAATCCACAACCACAGGGGCTAAGATGCCTAGTTATTCTGCTAGCTAGTGTTGGAACTCTCCTTGGACTGCATTTTCCAAAGCTTTCTGTTGTTGGTAGTCTCCTTACTGCTTAAGCTTTCCTTTAACTCCTTTTCACGGGTTGGAAGCTTAGCTACTTGGGGTCTGGCCCTGAGAGCATCACTCTCTACTCCATTTTGAATAAATCCTTTATTTAAATGTTTTATCTTCTTGAGCACAGGACTTGGCTCCAACATTACATTTCCTGGTGCTCTTTTTTTCTCTTCAAACTATTTCTTTGTGCCTGCTTCCTCTTTTTCATTGTAGATAATTATGAGAATGATCACTAATGACTACATAATACTGTGCTACCAGGCTGTCTTAAAATCTCTGCCAATGACATTAATGTAAATCTCTTTGATTTAGCTGCAGGCACATTTTTAGGACAAGGCCATATTCTGTGCCAACACATGTAAGGAAAGGTCTGTAGGCCACTGACTAATATTCTTCCCCTCTGAAACCTGTGGATCCAGCCCTCGATTCTCAAAATTGCCCTTTATACTATTGTTCTATATGTTCCTACTTAGATGAACCATTAATTACTGCTGAAAGTGTTCAACTACTTTTCTAGTCCAAAGTGTCAAAATCTTCCATACTCTTCCTACAAATAGCATGGTCAAGCCTACTTGGAAATACCCAAGTTCCTGGTACCTATGTCTGTCTTAGTTACTGTTCTGTGAAAGGACATTATGACCAAGACAACTCTTGTAAAATAAAGTATTTAACTGGGGGCTTCCTTACAGTTTTAGAGGGATGGTCCATGACCATCACCGTGAGAAGCAGACAGGCATGCAGGGAAACAGTAGATGAGTGTTTTATATCCTGATCTGCCTGTAAAAGTCAGAGAGGGAGGGAGGGGAAGAGAAGGATGGGACAACTATTTACCCATAAAAGCCTATAGGGATGATTCTCATTCAAACCACCACAGCTCGAATGTCTTTACTTCAGTTGTACTTTTGAAATTATATAACCATAGCCATCATGGTCCACCCACTCTCCAACCTTTCTTCACTCATGTTTATGTTGACAAAATGCCCTGGGTTTACAGATTTTTCTCTCTCTGTTCTTATAGTACTTTTTTGCTTTTATTTATTTATTATTTATTACAATTTCTTCACTTTGTATCCCCTCCCTAGTCTCCTCCCAGTCCCTCCCTCCCTTCCTCTTCTTCCCCTAAGTCTCTCCCCTAGTCCACTGATAGGGGAGGACCTCCTCCCCTACTATCTGGCCCTAGCCTATCAGGTGTCATCAGGACTGTCTGGATTCTCTTCCTCTGTGACCTGGCAAGGCTTCACCCCCTCAGGGGAGGTGAGCAAAGAGCCAATCACTGAGTTCATGTCAGAGACAGCCCCTGTTCCCCTTACTAGAGAACCCACTTAGAGACTGAGTTACCTATGGGCTACATCTGGGCAGGGGTTCTAGGTTATCTCTATGTATGGTCTTTTGTTGGAGTATCAGTCTCTTCAGGCTCCCCTGGGCCCAGATTTTTTTTTTTTTTTTGGCTGTTGGTTTTCCTTTGGAGTTCCTGTCCCCTCCAGGTATTTCTGTCTCCTTCTTCTTTCATAAGATTCCCTGCACTCTGCCCAAAGTTTGGCTATGAGTCTCAGCATCTGCTTTGATACCCAGTTGGGTAGAGTTTTTCAGAAGCTCTCTGTGGTAGGCTCTGTTTTCTCCCTCTTCCGATTTCTATCCCATTTGACCTTCTGAGTGAGGATTGAGCATCTTCCCTAGGGTCCTCCTTATAGCTTAGCTTCTTTAGGCCTATAGATTGAAAGTACTTCTTAACATCATATTTCAGTTAGTATTTCAGAAACATCTTTTCAGTGTTCTTTATGAATGTATTGAAAATGAAAAGTAAAGAATTAAGGTTTATGGTGAACTGGTTGTGGTTGTATGCCCCTCTATCTTGGTAAATCACAATTTGATATCATTACTGTGCTGTAATGCAGAAAGATCACTGATTCAATGACCTTTTTATTTAGGTAAAGGACTTACTTAATGTCAAATGTTAAAATTATTGGTATCATTACATAGCTTTTCAACTTATTTTGTATCTTGAGGATAATATCAATTACAGAGATACATAAGTGTTTATTTACTTAATTTATATCAGCCCTCACTTGCTCCCATTGTGGTGAAAGGCAGTACTCATATTTCTTTTAATTTTCATCAAGAAAATGTGTAGACACCACATTATTTGAAAGACAAATTTAGGTGGAAACAATCTGTAAGAAGTCAAATGGGTTAAAAGTTTATGGCTTATTTAATTTGAAACAAAAAAATGCAAATTGCCTTAGGATAAAAACATAAATATAATTTACAAGTGAACGTTTCATTCAGATAGTGAGGAGAGTATGTGACACATAAAAATGTTGTGTGATACAGTTTCACCTAGTGTACATTAACCATATACCTCAGTAGTTTACTTTGAACCCAACCTTTTTTTTTTTTTCTTTCTCATTGTTATGTTTTTCTTTTTGACTAGGTTTCTAGGTTGGCATTTTTAGGAGTCTACGAAAACTTTGTTCTTTCATTGTTTTACCGTGAATGTTGGTTGGCATGCCCAGAGATTCCCCCTAAACAATACAGGCCCTGGCTATTGCTCATAGCTGCCCACCAGAACATGACTGAAAGATTTTTTTGGTTTTGCTTTGGTTTGGTTTCCTTTTCTCATTTATTTATTTTAGTCTCTTTACATCCTTGTAGACCTTTCCCTCCTCCCCTCACAGTCCTACCCTCACTTCCTGTCCCCTCCCCCTCCCTTTTGTCCTCAAGAAAGGGGAGCCCTCTTTTCCATCCATCCTAGCTCATCAAGGTGCATCAGGACTAAACTTGTCCTTGTCCCCTGTAGCCTGTCAAGGCAACCCTGGCAGGGAAAAGTGATCTAAAAGCTAGCAAGTGAGTCCATGTCCCATGTAGTCCCCACTTTCCTTACTAGAGAACCCACATGAAGTATAAGCTGCCTTTTTGCTGCATCTTTATAGGAGGCCTAGGTCAAGCTCATGCATGGTCCTTGGGTGACGCTTCAGCCACAGCAAACACCTCTGGACCCTGATTAGTTTGCTCTATTGTTTTTCCTGTGGAAGTTCTTTCACATCTGGGTCCTTTTCTCTTTCCTCCCACTTTTCCACAAGACTCCATCAACCAGTGTTTGGCTGTGAGTCTCAGCATCTGTTTTGAGGCACTGCTGGTAGAGCCTTTCAGAGGACAACTATGGTAGGCTCCTGTCTACAATCTTAGGAGAGTATAGTTCAGTGTCAGGGGTTGGCACTCTCCAATAGTGTGGGTCTTTGGTTGGGCCAGGCATCAGTTGAGCATTCTCTCAATTGTTGCTATAACTGTTCTATCTTTACCCTTGCACATCTTGCACACAGAGTAAATTTTGGGTCGACGTTTTTGCCGGTGTGTTGGTGTCCCCTCTCTCTCCTAGGGGACTAATTTAGTTAAAGGATGTCCTCTTCAGTCTCTATGGTCTCTGCTACTAGGAGTCTCTGCTTGAATTCCCTTCATGTCCTTTGAGGAGGCTACCCTGACTTAGGGCTCCAGGTTGACACAGAGATGTCACCTTCCTCAGTTTCTCTTTTCTCTACAGGCCTTCTGTCTTCTTGGCCTTGCTCTCTCCAGGTCTGTTCTCCACCCTCTCAAATCTCTGTGTACATTCTCCTATCTTCTTCTCTCTCCTCAGCCATTACCTCTGCCTGTTCTACCTTCCCTTCTAAGTGAGATTTATACATTCTCACTTGGGTCCTCCTTATTACTTATCTTCTTAGGGTCTGTGCCTCCTCGTGTGCTTATCTTGTACTATCTGGCTAAAAAGCTTATAAGTGAGTACATCACATGTGCATCTTTCTAGGTCTGGGTTACCTCACTCAGGAAGATCTTTTCTAGTTCAACCTATTTGCTTGCAAATTTCATGATTTTTTTTATAATTAATTGCCGAGCAGTATTTCATTGTGTAAATGTGTCACAATTTCTTTATCAATTCTTTTGTTGAGGGACAGCTAGGTTGTTTCCAGATTCCTGTTATGAATAAAGCTGCTATGAACATAGTTGAGAAAGTGTCCTTGCTGTATGGTGGAGCGTCTTTTGGGTATACACCTAGGAGAGGTATACCTGGGTCTTGAGATAAAGTTATTCTCAATTTTCTAAGAAAACACCAGATTGATTTAAAAACTTGGTTCTACAAGCTTACACTCCCACCAGCAATGGTAAAGGGTTCCCCTTTCTCCATGCCCTTGCCAGCATGTACTGTTGCTTGAGATTTTGATCTTAGCCATTCTGACTCTTGAGAGATGGAATATCAGGCTCATTTGGATTTTCATTTCCCTGATGACTAAGAAAGTTGAGATTTTCTTTTTTTCATTATTATTATTGTTATTGTTATTACAATTTATTCATTTTGTATTCTGGCTGTGGCCACCTACCTCATCTCCTCCCAGTCCCAACCTCCCTCTGTATTCCCCCACTATTCCTCACCTAGTCTACTGATATGTGAGGTTCTCCACCCCTACTATCTGCCACTGGCTCATCAGTCTCATCAGAACTGTCTGGATCCTCATTCTCTGTGGCCTAGTTAGGCTACCTCACCATAGGGAGGTGATCAAAGAGCTGGCCAGTGAGTCTATGTTGGAGACAGCCCCTGTTCCACTTACTAGGAAATCCACATGGAGACTGAGCTGCCCATTGGCTACATCTAAGCAGGGGGTCTAGGTCCTCTACATACATGATCTTTGGTCAATTCATCAGTCTCTGCAGGACCTTGTACTATCTGTACAAAAAGCCAAAACACAGACTTTTTGTTTTTGTTGGTCTCTTTGTGAGCTCCTGTCCCCTCCAGGTCTTTCTATCTTACCCTTCTTCCATAATATTCCCTGTACTCTGCCCAAAGTTTAGCTATGAGTTCTCAGCATCTGCTTCGATACCCTGCTGGGTAGAGTCTTTCAGGGGACCCCTGTGGAAGGCTCCTGTCCTGTTTCATGTCTTCTCCTATTTCTGATGTCTATCCTGTTTGCCCTTCTGTATGAGGATTAAGCCTCTTCCCTAAGGTCTTCCTTGTTGTTTAGCTTTTTAGGACTATAGATTTTAGTGTGTTTATCCTTTATTATATGGCTAGTATCCAATTATAAATGAGTATATACCGTGTATGTCTTTTTGCTTCTAGGTTACCTCACTCAAGATAATCTTGTCTAGTTACCACCATTTGCCTGCACATTTCATGATTTCCTTGTTTTTAATAGCTGAGTAGTATTCCACTGTGTAAATCTACCACAATTTCTACATCCATTTTTCAGTTGAGGGACATCTAGGTTGTTTGCAGATTCTGGCTATTATGAATAATGCTGCTGTGAACATAGTTGAGCAAATGTCCTCATAGTATCTTTCAGATATATGCCTAGGAGTGATATAGCAGTATGGTTTATCATCTTTCAGGTATATGCCCAGGATATGCCAGGATCTATGAGGAAGCACTATTCCTACTTTCCTGAGAAAGCACCAGATTGACTTCCTAAGTGGTTGCACAAGGTTACATTCCCACCAGCAATGGAGGAGGGTTAAAAAAAAAAACAAAACATTTCTCCATAACCTCTCCAGCTTGTGTCGTCCCTTGAGTTTTTTATCTTAGCCATTCTGGTAGGGTGGAAACTCAGAGTTGTTTAACTACTTCTAGGCCATTCGAGATTCCTCTATTGAGAATTCTCTGTTTAGGTCTGTGCCCCATTTTAAAATTGGGTTATTTTGTTAATTGGTGTTTGATTTCTTGAGTTCTTTATAGATTCTGTCTGTTAGCCTTCTGTTGGATGTAGAATTTGTGAAGATCTTTTCCCAGTCTGTAAACTGTTGTTTCATTCTATTGACAGTGTCCTTTGCCTTACAGAAGCTTTTCCATTTTAAGAGGTCCCATGTCTTAATTGTTGATCTTAGAGCCTGTGCTGTTGGTGTTCTGTTCAGAAAGTTGTCTCCTGTGCCAATGAGTTCAAGGCTCTTCCCAACTTTCTCTTCTAATAGATTTAGTGTATCTGGTATTATATTGAGGTCTTTGATATACTTGGATTTGAGTTTTGTGCAGGAAGATCAATGTGGATCTATTTGCATTTTTCTACACATAACCATCCAGTTAGACCCAACACCATTTGTTGAAGAAACTCTTTTTTTCATTTCATTATAGTTTTGACTCTTTTGTCAAAAATCAAGCAATCTATATAGACATGTGGGTTTTTTTTTTTTGAGGGGAGGTGCAGTCTTTGATTCAATTCTATTGAACCTCCATTCTGTTTCTATGCCAGTATTACGTAGTTTTTAATCACTATTGCTCTGTAGTATAGCTTGAAGTGAGGTTCTTTTATTTTATAGGATTGTTTTGGCTATTCTGAGTCTTTTGTTTTTCCATATGACATTTAGAATTATTCTTTCAAGGTCTGTAAAGAATTGTGTTGGTATTTTGATGGGAATTGGATCAAATCTGTAGAGTGCTTTTGGTAGGGTGGCCATTTTTACTGTGTTATTCCTGCCGATCTACAAGCATGGGAGATCTTTCCATCTTGTGAGATCTTCTTCAATTTCTTTCTTCAGGAACCTGAAGTTCTTGTCATACAGGTCTTTCACTTGCTTGGTTAGAGTCATACCGAGATACTTTATATTATTTGTGGCTATTGTGAAGGTTATAGTTTCCCTAATTTCTATCTCAGCCTGTTTGTCATTTGTTTACAGGAAGGCTACTGATTTTTTTAATCAATTTTGTATCCAGCCACTTTACTGAAGCTGTTTATCAGGTGTAGGAGTTATTTGGTGGACTTTTGGGGGTTGCTATCATATCAGATCCCAAGATTTTATTGATGAAGAAACCACATAGTTTGAACATGGGTCATGGGAAAATACAGCTGGTTCTGATCTGGAAACTTTTGTTTTCCTGGCTAGTTCTCATAGACTTCAATCTAGACCAGAAAAGGACATTGAAAATCTTTGATGGGAGGTACTTTTAAGGGTCAATTAAAGGCACACATCTTTTTCTCTCTGTCTTTTATATTTACTTCCTAGAGTTCAGACATAATACAGTTTGTGTTCTGTTCTTGATTGGGGGGTTGATATGGATCAAGTCGTATCCTAAGCAGCATTTCCTAACTGCTTGACATGTACCCTTGCCTTCTGCCTCTCGGTCAGACTGCACCTACTCTAAGAATAGAAAAACCCTAGCCTTGACATTTATATAATGTATTATTTTTTACTTTACACAAACTTGGAAAGATTATTTAAAACTCCATAGTCATCATTTCCTTATCCACTCTTTGTCTAAAGAGTGATATACTGATTTGTATGTTTATTTTAAAGACTTCTCCTACACTGTGCTTTTTTTTTTTTTTGTCCAGAGTTAGACTAAATATCTCAATGTCCCTTATATGTTACAAAATATAGTCACATTTAGGTTTAAGGCTTCAGCATAAGATATGGTTCTGGAGGCAGACATGGCAGTTATCAAAAGTCAAAAAATAAATTTATGGCTTGTATAAAAACAGCTACAGGATATGACTACAGTTGGTTTATAATATTTTAGTTTTAAAAGTGTACCTTTAATGGAGGGTAATGGATCCCTCTTTGTGGGCATGCTTGCTTCAGTTTACCAGTTTCCCACCTTATAATACCTTCTTTTGTACTTTCATTATTTAAGTTCATGGACCCTGAATATAGAAAACACAGAGGTAGGAATATACTACCAGAATAATTTTTTGTGATATAGAACAAATCTCATCAATACCATAAGGACATTCATAAGATTTGCTTTGAGAATTATGTCATCTCCAAACATAGAACTTTAGTCTATTTCATTTCTTAAACACATCTTTCAAATGTCCAGATGATAAACACTGTATACCATCCAATTTGTGTTTAAAATTCCCAAGAACTAGATGAGAGAAAGGTCTGTCACACCTGTAAAATATGATAGATAAAAGTAAATTAGGTCTTCATATTTTGGGTTATACTCTTCTTAATCCACTCCAAAGATGTTCTATCCAGATCATGGTTTAAAATAATGTTCCAAGGCTTACAGCAAGGCTGGGAGTAGATAAAAATAAGTACTTCTATAGTTCTTTGAGTTTCAAGTTTCAGGATAAGACTATGTAATTCATGCAGACATTCAAGAATTAAATGATGTGCTATTTGTAAATTGGTTAAAATAGTGCCTGAAATAATAAGAAATAATTTGCTGTTTTAGTTGGGAGCACTATATCTCAGAGGTTAAGAGAATGGGGATTCATGTCAGTTCAATTTTAATTTCTGTCATATAGCCCTCACATCCTAGTTAGATGATGTGGCTAATTATTAAAGTAATAGTATTTTATGTATAAATATCTATATAGCAACATCATTAGGTTTATACAAATATGCAATGGAACCTTACTACAGTAATGTAACAGAACAAGTATTTAATGATATAAAATAGGTAATTATTAAATGTGAATTTCAAGATACATGTATGTGAGGTCATTGGAAATACTCCATGGAGGTATGCAGACAGACTTGAAAACTGAGTAGATATCTTAATCAGTATTGGTACAAGCTGTGAGAAAAGATTGAAAATACCTAGTGTATTACATTGCACCTCCATTTGGCTATTTGAATCAAGGTAAATAAAATAAGATTTAAAAATTACATATAATATATTTTATGTAAAATATCAATACAATGTTTTAAAAATATAATGTAGAAAAAGAGAAATATCTATGAATATTTTAATGTGTCACTGTTTGCATTGACAACTAAACAAGAAAAAAGACTTTTATTGAGGGATTTTATATTCATTGCCAGAAAGCAAATATTGACTCTACCCAGCAAGGTATCAAAGCAGATGCTGAGACTCATAGTCAACCTTTGGGCAGAGTGCAGGGAATCTTATGAAAGAAGGGGGAGATAGGAAAACCTGGAGGGGACAGGAGCTCCACAAGAAGAACAACAGATCCAAAATATCTGGGCCCAGGGGTCTTTTCTGAGACTGATACTCCAAGCAAGGACCATTCATGGAAATAACCTAGAACCCCTGCACAGATGTAGCCCATGGCAGCTCAGTCTCCAAGTGGGTTCTTTAGTACTGGGAACATGGACTGTCTCTGACATGAACTCAGTGGCTGGGTCTTTGATCATTTCCCCCTGCGGGGAGCAGCCTTACCAGGCCACAGAGGAAGACTATTCAGCCAGACCTGATGAGAAGAGATAGGCTAGGGTCAGAGGGAAGGGAGGAAGACCTCCCCTATCAGTGGACTTGGAGAGGGGCATGGAAGGAGATGGGGGAAGAAGGGTGGGATTGGGAGGGCAGGAAAGAGGGGTCTATAGCTGGGATACAAAACGAATAAACGGTAATTTATAAAAAATCAATAAATCATAAACTAAAAGCTGAACAATAAAAGAGAAATTTTCTTATGCTGTATGATATCACTGCTTTATTTAACTTCAGGAAAAGCTTGGCATCAAAATGATACAGAATTAATATATTGAATTAAAGCTCTTTTAAAAAAGCTATTGTGTATTATACTTACTCTTATTTTCTGTCTTTTTATTTTTTTTAGTTGGCTTTCTCCCCTTACTTTGACAGCTCACAATGCATTCCTGAAGCAATATCCTAAAATATTTATCCATGAAAAACCAATATTACCTAAAATCACTCAGGATGAAAGAAGGTAAGGATAACTTTTTTGAAAGTGAAATCTGTGTGTGAACATACATGTGCTTTTTAGAATCGACATGTATTGGTGTTACATAATGCTGCTGAGTTTCATAATAACAAGTTTATTCAAGTACACCATGTCCTGTGATCTACCCACTGTCCTGAATTCCTTCTCTGTCCCCAGTGTGCTGTTTACTCCTAGTTCCCTTTTTAATTCCATGACACATATTCATCTATTATTATATATTTAAGTGACTTTATGTAGCTATGAAAAATATAGGATCCATAAAGAAGATAAAAACTGTTATTTGTTTTTTTTTTTTATGAGTTTGCCCCTTTTACATAATATGATGATCTTCGGTTGCATCTGTTTTCTTACAAACAACCTAATTCCATTTTTTTTTTGACTGAGTAAAACTCTGCTGTTCATATTCTACATTTTTTTTGTTCTAGTTTTTTTCTGATGACAAAGTAGGCCAATTATGACCTTGGCTGTTGTGAATAATGTTGTAGTAAACATGGATGTACAAATATGTCTGCCATGTGCTGATAGGGAGATCTTCAGCTACCATCCGAAAAGCTGTTCAGCTTGTTCATTCCACATTGTGTAATTTGCATTCCCTGTGTTCCTTCCAAAATAGCATCTTAACTGAAAAAGTACAACAGTCCTGTAGGTTAATAAAAAGTTGGGAGGAAATAGGAGTAGTTCAGCTGTCAAGAGTTTCTCATGACACCTTACTTTATAGACTCCTTTTGCTATAGCCCCAATGGTACATTATGGAACATTCCAAAATTAGTCAGCTTCCTGCACTGGCCACCATGTGAGATGCTTTCCCCAGCATTACAAACAAGCCTTCTGGAATCAAAAGACAACATAAACTCTTCTTTCTATAAGGTGCTTCTGTTGTGATTTCTTTTTTAATCAGAGTAGCACAAAAATAACCAATACAGGGTACAAAATATATAACAGAACAGGAAACTTATGTAACATTGATTTGTTTATGTGACTGATTAGTCAAACAAATTAGCTTGAGAAGCATGAGAGTTTTAAGACATATTTCTGGTGTGTCTGTGGGAAAAGCTAGCTTCAGGTTTAAATTATAATTTTGATGGCTACTTTTCTTCCATGGGTCTGCCTCACCATTTTTGGATTGATTTGGTTTTCATACTTCTTGTGGTAGATTTGGACAGATGAGATTTTTTTCCTTAAGCTTCAGGTGAGTGTAGAAGAAATCTTTTAAAATAACTTGAGCAGAAATTCACTGGAATCTCTTACGTAAATCCCACCCTTGGATTATCATTGTGCTCTGATTTCTAGACTTGAACCACATGTCTATCCATATAATGGGAAATATATTGCTGACACACTAAAGAGAAGCCAGTGAAAAAACTGCAGTGTTATAAGCTGGAAAGTTGTGAATGAATGTATAAAAGTTGGAGGCCTACAGAGACAGAACCACCAACCAGAGAGGATCCATGGGATGGTTCTAGCCCTGCCCCCATATAACAGATGTGCAGCTTGGTCCTCATGTGGGACCTCTAACAGCAGGAGCAGGGACTGTATCTGACTCTGTTGCCTTCCTTTGGATCCCTTTACTCTACCTGTCCTGTCTTGTTTAGTCTCAGTGGAAGAATATACGCCCAATCATATTTGATATGCCTATGAGGGCTGATATTCATGGGAGATCTCCTCTTTTTTGAGCTAAAGGGAGGGAGGGACAGGGAGGTGAGGGGAAGTGAGGGAGGAGGAATGAGAGGGGAGGAAGAGAGGGGAAGTTCCCTTTGGGGTGTAAAGTAAATTAATTAATTTATTAATTAATGAATGAAAAAAAATTGCTTGAAGACACATAATTGAATAGGAGGTTGGAAAATTTTTCTTTTGAAACAAGGTAATGTACTGAGAAAGAATGTCTTAGCTAGGTTTCTATTGCAGTTATAAAACACTATAAAGAAAACAACTAGGGGAGGAAACGGTTTATTTGGATTACAAACTATACTTCATCACCAGAGGAAACCAAGGCAGAAACTCAAGGCAGTAAATGAAGCAGAGGCCACAGAGGAAGTATTTCCCCAGTTGTTGTCCATGCTTGCTCAGCCAGCCTCACAAACAAGGACCACTCCCCTTGGGGTTGCAATACCTACCATGGGATGTAGGCACCACATCAGTTATTTACCAGGAAAATGCCCCACATTCTTGCCTATAGATCAACGTGGTGGAGGATGAGAATTTTTTTTCTTTCCAGATATGCCCAGATTTGTATTAAACTGACAAAAACCAAATATCACAAAAGGCAATGAACTCTGAAACCCTGTTTACAATGAGAGAGGTTGCATATAGCCATTATTCTAACATAGTGCATTGAATTAAATTAATATCAGGATATAAAGAGATCCAATCATTAGAAACCCAAACCTGAACCCAAACCTGAAAATATTGCCCTAAAATTTTAGGCAAAAAAGTAGAAATGTGTTAAATGTTTTAGATACATATCAAAGGGCAGAGGAAGCAAAAGAAAATAGACAAGAGTTTATATGAAACTAAGACACATTCCAAAGGCAAGGAAAGAGTGAGGACACATCAGTGGATTGGGAGAAATTATTTGCAAAGTCCATATTTGACACACAGGATTAATATTCAAAATACATAAGGCATTTGACTCAGTAGCAAGAAAACAATATGAGTAAATAATGGACAAAAATTTTAGAAGACACTTCTCAAAAGAAGACATTCAAGGACATTTGAAAGAATTCAGTGTATGCCTTGCGGTAAAAGTAAAATGACAGTTTCACTGCTTATGTGTTCCATCCTCTGGCTGTTCACATTACTAAAACATTAATCTTTATTCTTCAAGTCATAAAAAGCAATCTGCTCCAAGAGAACAATAAATGCATTGCAAATTTAAGATTCACAAAGTCTATCAAAACTTTGAACTCAGTTACAGGTCTCAGAAGAGACCATGCATTATGTTTACTTATAGCACTTTAGCTGTTATTATTATCAGGTACTGTAGTATAGATGGGAGGGATGTTTTATGTAGATGTTTCCACCTATCAAGAAGTTCTTTTTTATTTTCTCTCATATTAAATATCAACATAGAAAGACAAACTTGGTATATACTCGCTTATATAGACCTACAAGATATGATAAACATAATGAAATCTACACACCTAAAGAAGATAATCAAGAAAGTGAACACAGGCGAAGGTGATTAATCCTCATTTAGAAAGACAAATGGGATGTGCATTGAACTTATGACAGGAGTCTACCACAAAAGGCATCTGAAAGATTCTACCTAGCAGTGTTTCAAAGCAGACACTAAGACTCATAACCAAACCCTCGGCAGAGTGCAGGGAATCATATGAAAGAAGAGAAGTTAGTATGATATGGAAAGGATAGGAGCTCTACAAGGACCAAATATATCCGGGCACAGGGTCTTTTCTGAGACTGACACTCAACCAAGGATCATCTATGGATATAACCTAGAACTTCTGCTCGGATGTGGCCCGTGGTAGCTCAGTAACCAAGTAGTTTTCCAAAGTAAGGGGAACAGGACTATTTCTAACAGGATCTCAAGGGCAGGCTCTTTGACACCTCCCCACCCAGGGGAGGAGCAGTCTGTTAGGCCACAGAGGAGGACTTTGCAGCCAGCCCTGAAGATACCTGATAAAACAGGGTCAAATGAAAGGGGAGGATGTCCTCCCCTATCAGTGGACTTGGAAAGGGGCAGGGAGGAGACCAGGGAGGGAGTGTGGGGTTGGGGAGGGAATGAGGGAGCGGGATACAGCTGGGACACAGAGTTAACAAAATGTAACTAAAAAGAAAAATAAAATTAAAAAAAAAATGAAAGCATGCAAACCATACATTATAACCAGTTTCATGAGAATACATCACAGGGTAAGCAATGTTTTCACGGAATAAATCTTGTCAGGAAACAATTTTTAGCAGAAACTAAATACCTACATTATCAAATTATTTTCAATAACTGATCTATGCTACGATTGACCAAGGTTAACATATACAGACAAGAAAGGGGACCTCGATTTCTTGCTGTCTTCCTCCTTGGACAGTCTTGATCTCCTTCTTGTCCCGGAGGCACTGGTCCTAAGAGCACTTAAGTTTAGACCTGGAGGCCAGGCGGATATTGTTTGTCCCTAGCTCGAGGCTGTGTTACCTTGGAGTCCTCTCACACAGATTACCAACCAAGGAAAAAATGCACTACTGGCTTGCCCATAGGCAAATCTAATGCGGAAATTTTCTCAGTTTCTCATTTTTCTTTCAAAATGACTCTATCTTGTGTTTAGTTGATATAAAAGTAATAAGCTTAGGGTTCAATTAGATTTTCCTTTTGCCTCAGTGGACAAATCCTCTCGTGAAACCTGAGCATAGTCATGTCTGTGGCCTCAGCAGTGACAGGAAGATATTATTAAAATTATTGGCCAACACCAATATCTATTATTATTGTTATATTTAACAGTGCATAAATTATTTAACACAAATATTTGATGACTGTTATACCAAGCAAGTCATCCACTTGGCTCTGGGGAGCTGGAGAGGGTCCTGATGTCAGAGTACTTGCTGGAGACTGGAGGATTTCCGTCAGTCAGGTGCAAGGAGGGAAGAAATGCTTCTCAAAAGTGCTGAAGCTCTTTATAGCAGTTTCCCATCAATGAAAAGAAACAGAGAAACAGAAGGCCTGGATGAGACATTGAGAAGCATTTCTATTCAAACCTTAAAAGATAGGTCAAGGATGAGGTGAAAGATGGTTTGGAATTGTTGTCACTATTTAAATTTTATTTTATTTGGAAATATATTAGAAGGTAAATTTCTGGAATATTTTAAGGGTGGAAGAAAGCTAAAGAAGCAGCTGTATTTTGTTTTGATTTTAAAAAACACTGAATTTTAATCATGAAAACTGGAATTTGGGTTTTAATTTTGTTTAATGGCATCAACGTGACTTTAGAAAAGTCTTTTAACATGGCTTTCAATTTATTCAGAAAAAGAGTGCACGTTTA